GTTGTTGTGAGAGAGATAACCCTAAATCCTCTCCCAGCTTTTCGTTTTTTTTTTTTTTTTCTTTTTTTGAGACAGAGTCTCACTCTGTTGACCGGGCTCGAGTGCGGTGGCGTAGCCCAGCCTCACAGCAACCTCAAACTCCTGGGCTCAAGCGATCCTCCTGCCTCAGCCTCCCCAATAGCTGGGACTACAGGCATGCACCCACTGCCATGCCCAGCTCATTTTTTCTATATATATTAGTTGGCCAATTAATTTCTTTCCTATTTATGGTGAGACGGGTCTCGCTCTTGCTCAGCTGGTTTCCAACTCCTGACTCGAGCAATCCGCCGCCTCGCCTCCCAGAGTGCCGAGGATGACAGGCGTGAGCCACCCGTGGGTTGAAGAGGGAGAAAAGGGGGACTTTACTTTTTTTTTCTATAATTGTACATTATGTCAATTCCTTAAAATAACTGTAAAACTCCTATTTAAATAAAGGTATATGAAATTACAAGTAAGTACATTTATGCTTTTTTCTTGCCTTATTGCTGATACCACTTCAGTTTTCCTATATGTACCAAAGTACAGGAGGGGCCTGACCTCACATTCCCAAAGCAGGAGGCCCCGTCAGCATTCCCTAGCAGTGGAGACAAGGTGGGCAAGGAATCGTGCGAGGTGACGTCTGAGGAGGCCTCCCGAGGCTGGTTGTGGAGAGCCTGTTGTTAAATTTCTATGAACTCCAAGCTGGTTGACTTCACTTCGGTGGCTTGAAATCAGCCTTGCTGGGAGAATTTACACCCCAGAAATGAACAAACAAGGGCCTTTGTGTTTTCAGAGATGTTAAAAGTTTCCCAGCACATCGCTACCGTCACACCTCATTAACTGGGAGTCAGCAAGCTTCACAGAAGTGACTTTGTATGTCAGCTGTTGGCAGAACTTGCTTATTCATTCCTCAGACATTCGCCAAGGCAGACTCTGTCTCTAGCCCTCGCCAGACACTGAAATCGCAGAGCATCACAGTAGAGGCGTCAAAACTCTCTCTGCTCTTGAGGGGTCCATGTCCCAGGAGGGAAGACAGGTGAGAAATGATGTTAAGAATCACAGCTCGGAACACTATCTCTGCCACTTGCAGCAATAGCTGGTATTTGCTGAGTATTTACTCCCAGCTCTGAATTCTGTTACACACTTGGCATGTATATTATCTAGTGGGCTTTGTCTGAGGGCAAATTTTTTTCCTGAGCCTTAATTTTCTCATCTGTAGAATAGAGATAATAGTCGTATCTATCGCATAGCATTTTTGAAATTTTTAAAGTCTTAATTTTTTAATATGCAATGCTTCACGAATTTGTGTGTCATCCCTGCAGCGGTGCCATGCTGATCTCTGTACAGGTCCAATTTTAGTATACATGCTGCCGAAGTGAGCGCCACTGAGCATGTTAAACACTGGATGCTGATGCACCGTTACTATGCACAGCGGATGCCGTAGTATAGGAGAGAGTCCGTAAGTGTTCGTACCATTGTGATAAGACACACAATGCAATAAAAGAAATCTGGCCAGGTGCCATGGCTCATGCCTGTAATCCTAGCACTTTGGGAGGCTGAGGCAGGAGGATCGCTTGAGCCCAGGAGTTTGAGGTTGCAGTTAGCTATGATGACATCAAGGCACTCTAGCCCAGGCAACAGAGTGAGACTCTGTCTCAAACAAAAAGAAAAGAAGGAAGAAAGAAAGAAGGAAGGGAGGGAGGGGAAAAGAAGGAAATCTAAGAGTGCTCAGGAAACACAAAAGTGGGGTTTCTCAGTTAGCCAGGATGGGGAACAGGAGGGGGTGGGAAGAGGAGTAAAGAATTCACAGAGAAGGCCGGGCGCTGTGGCTCACGCCTGTAATCCTAGCTCTTGGGAGGCCGAGGCGGGCGGATTGCTCAAGGTCAGGAGTTCAAAACCAGCCTGAGCAAGAGCGAGACCCCGTCTCTACTATAAATAGAAAGAAATTAATTGGCCAACTGATATATATATAAAAAATTAGCCGGGCATGGTGGCGCATGCCTGTAGTCCCAGCTACCCGGGAGGCTGAGGCAGAAGGATCACTCGAGCCCAGGAGTTTGAGGTTGCAGTGAGCTAGGATGACATCAAGGCACTCTAGCCCAGGCAACAGAGTGAGACTCTGTCTCAAACAAAAAGAAAAGAAGGAAGAAAGAAAGAAAGAAAGAAAGAAAGAAAGAAAGAAAGAAGGAAGGAAGGAAGGAAGGAAGGAAGGAAGGAAGGAAGGAAGGAAGGAAGGAAGGAAAGAAAGAAGGGAGGGAGGGGAAAAGAAGGAAATCTAAGAGTGCTCAGGAAGCACAAAAGTGGGGCTTCTCAATCAGCCAGGATGGGGAACAGGAGGGGGTGGGAAGAGGAGTAAAGAATTCACAGAGAAGGTAGTGACAGTTAAGGTCCTGGACTTTCAAGGTCCTGACAGTTAAAAAGGATTTTCCAGGCAAAAAAGATCGAGGGAGGGTGTCCAGGCAGAAGACAGCATGAACAAAGACCAAAGGGATGAAATCAGAAGCCCAGGGCCCCCGGGTTCAGGGACTTTCTCAAAAGCAAGGGGAACTGGTGGATTGGGGACGTGGCTGCCCCCCACCGCCTTACCCCTCACCAGGTCCTCTCTCTGTCCTTTCTCCCACAGGTCCCTCCTGTTGATCCGCTCAAAGAGGCCAAGAGCGAGCAGCCAGGCTGCCTCCGTCCCGAAATGGCCCGTGAGCAGCTGGGCCATGTCCAGGGGACCGGCTGTCTCCATTCGTCCCCAAGGGATCTTGTCTTCCCCACGCTCCGTCACGGTCCCCAGGTATAACTTGAACTTCTTCAGTTCCACGGCCTCCAGTTCCTCCAAGTAGGTGGACAGGAGGCAGAGGCCATCCCGGACTGGGGGTCGCGGCATGGGGGCGCCGAGAGTCCTGGGAGGAGGGACTGGAGAGCAGGTGTTTCCAGGCCCTGGGCCAGGGGCAATCCCAGCCGACACGCCCAGGGACCCTTCTCAGGCCGAGGGACGAGAGGCCGCTCCGAGCCAGCGGCTGTAGGAATGAGGGAGGGAGGGGAAAGCCGTGGCTGAAATAGCGCTTCCTCCGCCCGCCCTGGCCCGCCACCTAGACGTGCCCACTCCCAAGAAGGGGAAGTTGGGGGAGATGGAGAAATCTCAGGAGCCATCCGGACTCGTGAGAAAGATTTCACTTCTGCTCTCTCTCTGGAAGGAACAGTCACTCTCTTTCGTCCTTCCTTCCATTTTCCTTGTTTCACGGGTGACTGCTCCGCTGTAGGCTCAGAACAGTGGCTGTTCCTCTTCCAGAAAGTCGTGTTAAGAACCCTGCATGATTCTGCTGTTTTCCCTTTTCTTTCAGGCACAAGAGTGGCACACCCCTCATAGGGACCCTACAGTAGGCAGGATAATAGTCACCAAAGATGTTCATGTCCTAATCCCCAGAATCTGCAATAGGTACCGTCTGTGGCAAATGGGACTTTGCAGATGTGACTAAAGGAAGACTCTAGATGAGGAGATCGCCCTGGGTTATCTAAGTGGGCGCTATGTCAGCACAAGGTGCTTCTAGGAGGGAGGCAGGGGTCCGGCAGTGGCTCACGCCTGCAATCCCATGCCTGCAAGCATGGAGTGATGGTTGTCACAGCGGCAATTAGACACTAACATAGATTCCTTTGCCCACCTTGGACCAGGAATGCTAAGAACATGGATGAGGCCCATTGCTAACTGGCTCCCAAGGAACTTGTGTGGAAGAAGGAGGTAAACAATGTTGCTGTAAGTCACTAAGATGTATTGCCTATTACTGTAGTGTACCTAGACTAAACCGACTGACACAGTGATTTAATGATGTCTGGAAGGCAGTCAAAACAGCATTGCCTCACATAGGATGTCTTAGGCGGGAAGTAGCAATCCCAACTCCAAATGCCTTAAAAATAAGGAGAAACAAACCACAAACACAAAAAATAATGTGGATGAATCTCATGAGCATAATATTGAGCAAGAGAAGTCAGATATAAAAATGTGTATGTTCTCATGCCTGTAATCTTAGCACTCTGGGAGGCGGAGGCGGGCGGATTGCTCGAGGTCAGGAGTTCAAAACCAGCCTGAGCGAGACCCTGTCTTTACTATAAATAGAAAGAAATTAATTGGCCAACTAATATATATAGAAGAAATTAGCTGGGCATGGTGGCGCATGGCTGTAGTCCCAGCCACTCGGGAGGCTGAGGCAGGAGGATCGCTTGAGCCCAGGAGTTTGAGGTTGCTGTGAGCTAGGCTGACGCCATGGCACTCTAACCTAGGAAACAGAGCAAGACTCTGTCTCCAAAAAAATAAATAAATAAATAACCGGGCGGGAGCCCAGAGGGGCTACTGAGATACTGGTCATATTCTGTCTCCTCATCCAGGTACCAGCTAAATGTGTGTGTTCAACAAGAACAACAATGTGGTTTGTTCTTTCACATTTCATAAAATCTTACAGCGGAATTCCTAGAGGGTTAGTTAATTCAGTGGCTCCGTGACGTTCACTTTCCCACTCTGCCACGTGTACACTGTCACCTTCCTGTGTTCAGCCAGGTCCCCTCATGGTCTCAAGACGGCTGCTGCAGCTCCAGACACACATGCAGATGCAATGATCTCCAATCAAAGAAAACAGACTTTTTTCCTTCATACATCTCTTTTCTTTTCTTTCTTTTCTTTTTTTTGAGACAGAGTCTCACTTTGTTGCCCAAGTTAGAGTGCCGTGGCGTCAGCCTAGCTCACAGCAACCTCAAACTCCTTCTGCCTCAGCCTCCTGAGTAGCTGGGACTACAGGTATGCACCACCATGCCTGGCTAATTTTTTCTATATATCTTTAGTTTTTCCAGCTAATTTCTTTTTATTTTTAGTCTAGACAGGGTCTCGTTCTTGCTCAGGCTGGTTTTGAACTCCTGACCTTGAGTCATCCTCCCGCCTCGGCCTCCCAGAGTGCTGGTGTTAGGGATGTGAGCCACTGGGCCCAGCCCATACGTCCCTTTTCTTGGTCAGTGTTGTTTTTTAATGAGGCAGGGTCTCACTCGGCTTTCACCGCACCAGGGCTCATATTTCTCTTTTTAGGACAATAAAAAAGTTACCAGCAGACTTCTCACACCTCACCGACCAGAACTGGGTCATATGGGTCATTTAAACCAATTCCTGGCAAGGCGGAAATGGGTTACCACAATTGGATTCATGAACCACATGGCTGAGTGAAGGAAGATGAACAAGCTGAACAAACTTAGGGCTCACCTGGCAAACAGGAAGGGAGGGGAGCCACCGTGCTGGCCTGGGCGGGGTGACTCACATCTGTAATCCTAGCACTCTGGGAGGCCAAGGCAGAAGGCTTGCTTGAGGCCAGGATTTTGAGACTAGCTGGAGCAACACAGTGAGGCCACTTTCTCTACCAAAAAAATAGAAAAATTAGTGGGGTGTGGTGGTACGTGCCTGTTGTCCCAGCTATTCAAAGCCGAGGCAGGAGGATCCCTTGAGCCCAGGAGGGTGAGGCTGCAGTGAGGTATGATGATGCCACTGCATTCCAGCCGGGGCAAGAGCAAGGTTAAGAACAACTGCCTGACATATTTTTAATTTATTTTATTTTTTTCTTTTAGAAACTTTGTTACCACTTAATTGAAGTATGATTGACACACAAAACCTGTACATATTTAGTGTGTACAATTTGATGAGTTTGGAAATAAGTACCCATGTACCATGAAGCCATCACCACTATCTGTTCCAGAAACATCCCCATCACCTCCCAAAGTTTCCTCCCACCCTCTTTACTTATTTTTATTATTCGTGTGTGTGTGTGTGTGTGTGTGACAAAAACACAGCATTAGATCTAACCTCTTAGCAAAATTTTAGTACAACATACAGTATTGTTAGCTATTGGCATTATGCTGTACAATAGCTCTCTAGGAATTATTCATATTACATAACTGAAACTTTGTGTTCTTTGACTATTTCCCGGTTTCCCCTTTCTCTGGCCCCTGGCAACCACGATTTCACTGTCTGCTTCTATGACTTTAACTACTGTAGATTCATCATCGTATAAGTGGCATCACATAGCATTTGTCCTTCTGTGTCTGGCTTATTCCACTTAGCATAACGTCTTCCAGGTTTGAAACATCTGTTACTCTTTCCATAGTGTATTCCAAGCACCCCAGTGTGGCGAACACAATCTTCCACTAAAATAACACAGTCCTTGTTCACATATATAGCTAGCATTCTTAGAAGCATCGTGCATAATAATACATGCTCTACATAGTGTATTCCGTGCTGCCCAGTGTGGCGAACACATTCTTTCACTGAAATAACACTACCTAAATGCAACAAAATTCCAGAACTCTTAGAAACATCTTCTATACATGAGTACCTGACATATTTTAAAATTCAATACTTAATTATTGAGCATCTTCCATTCATTTGTGGATTCCAAAACTCTTCATTAGGCACTTACTGTGAGCCAGACCCTGAGCTACAGGTGTGATTTCTGCTCTGTGGCAGTGACAGTCCAGGGTGTCATTCACATCCCAGGACTGTGAAAATGACACATAGCACTCAATAAATGTTACGCCTTAGTTCTCCTTGGATCCAGCTTAACAAATTGCATATCAGGCTAGCCACTGGAGATGAGAAATAATACCCACACCTAAGAGTTATAAAAAAATATTTGCAGTTCACATCACACTTCTGCAGCCAATTTCTCTCTGCATGCTCACAAAAGGTCCAGTAAGACTTGACTTGTTAGCTTCAGTGGGCAGATGGGGAAACCAAGCTCAGAGAGGATGATAATCATTCTTCAATGACTTTCTGTTATACTCAGAATAAAACTCCATCTCTTGGCCAGGCGCGGTGGCTCACGCCTGTAATCCTAGCACTCTGGGAGGCCAAGGCAGGAGGATCACTCAAGGTTAGGAGTTCGAAACCAGCCTGAGCAAGAGCGAGACCCCGTCTCTACTATAAATAGAAAGAAATTAATTGGCCAACTACAAATATGTAGAAACAATTAGCTGGGCAGGGTGGCACATGCCTGTAGTCCCAGCTACTCGGGAGGCTGAGGCAGGAGGATCACTTGAACCCAGGAGGTTGAGGTTGCTGTGAGCTAGGCTGACGCCACGGCACTCACTCTAGCCTGGGCAACAAAGCAAGACTCTGTCTCCAAAAAAAAAAACCAAAAAAACAGAAAAGAAATATATCGTCTCACAGTCTGGAAGCTACAGGTCTAATCAAGTTGTCAGCAAGGTTGGTTTTCTTTTGAGGCCTCTTTCTTTGGCTTGCAGACAGGCACCTCCTCATGTGGTCATTCTGCAGTGCCTGTGTCCCAACCTCTCCTTTTTTTTTTTTCTTTTTTTGAGACAGAGTCTGGCCCTGTTGCCCAGGCTAGAGTGTTCCGAGTACCTGGGACTACAGGCATGCGCCACCATCCCCGCCTAGATTTTTTCTATATATATTTAGTTAGCTAATTAATTTCTTTCTGTTTATAATAGAGACGGGGTCTCGCTCTTGCTCAGGCTGGTTTTTGAACTCCTGACCTCGAGCATCTAGCCGCACCTCGCCCCATAGTGCTAGGATTATAGGCCATGAGCCACTCACCAGCTGTTTTGGGTTTTTTTTTAATTGAGGTAAAACACAGCACATAATATTTATTGTTTTAACTATTTGTTTATTTCATTTTATTGAAAGCTTCAAGGCAGAGTAATAACTATTTTAAGGGGTTCAATTCACTAACGGTAAATACACTGGCCATGTTGTACGACCATCACCACTATTGTAGCTCACAGCAACCTCAATCACCACTCTAGCACTTTTTGGTCACCCCCAAGGGAAACCCCATTCCTACTGAGCAGTCACACCCCATTCTCCCCTCTCCCAGCCCCTGG